AGCATTCTGTGCTGCCCTCCCTCCCCCCCCCACAGCCCTGAGAGCCAACTGGAGCATGCTGCATGGCACTCCAACAGCGATTTAAAGGGCCCGTGGTTCTGACCATCCCTGCTCCAATGGCTGGGGTGGCAGAAGCTGAGCCTTTTTGAATCCCCAGGCCCTACGGCAATTGCCTTCTTCCCCTTCTCAGTCCATCTTCCCCCCACTCAGCAGGCCTGACAACTCCCTTAGCATGTACAGGTAAGATATGAGGAGGAACACTGAAAAATACTAACAAGGTGCATAGGAAACTTCCCCATTTTGAGGAACACTGTAGGAGCGCTTCCCTTGTTATGTATCCAATCTTCCTTTAAATCTAAGGGCACTGACTTTTTCCTCTGCAATTTAAGTCTGGAGGGAGTCTAGTGTGGTAGGTATGAGAGAGCAGAAGAAAAGAGGTATGGTATGGTTCCTGCTATTACAAGATGGAGAGGTTCATCTCTAGTCCATCAGTAAAAGCCACTAAAAAGGATTTAAGGATTCTATGCCATTGGCTTTAAATGCACACTTTGATTGAAATCTGCTAATCTGTAATGCAGCATTTCTTAAAGTGTGTTCCATGGCACACCGGTGTGCCGCGGAGAGAACAGAATTAAAAATGGTCGCCCTTTAAATTTATTTATTTATTTTGCTCAAAGGGGCCCTTTTTTGGGGGGGGCTTAACTTTTCCCTGGGGGCTTCCCTCCCCCCCCCGAACAAAAAAAATCCTTGGTGTTCCCCATAAAACAAATTATTGTTTGGTGTTCCTCTGTCTTAAAAAGTTTAAAGAAACACTGCCATAATGCATCAGTACAGACTGGGACATTTTTCATGGTATTTGTGTATTCAGCTGATGGACACAACAAAGTCCGAGGCACTTCTTTAAACCCATTGGCTTTCTACCCATGCTCAGAACCATATAAAAAAGCTTTGTCAGCTTAGCCTAAATATTTAAACATTTTTAAAAAGACCAAGTGAGGCATTATCAGCCAAGTGGAGACCTAGAGTTTTATCTTATGAATTAGCCACACATTGTGTGAAGGGAGATTTCAGGAGAGAATGTAGGGTTCTTTTATTTAGCATAGAACATTTAATTGTATCTCAAGTGACCCAAAAGTCTCGATTGGAATTAAAAAACAAATAAACCTAAAGACGAATCCATCCTTAGACACTAAGTACTTGGAGACCGAGCAAAGATAATAAAGCTTTCTTGGTGATCTAAGCCAGTGTGATGGGAAGTAAAGAAAGGCTTAACTTAAGAGACAAAAATCTCTTCTTAACATACCTCAGGGTATGTCTACACTACAAAGTTAGTTCGAACTAACAGACGTTAGTTCGAACTAACTTTCATAGGCGCTACACTAGCGCTCCGTTAGTTCGAATTTAATTCGAACTAGCGGAGCGCTTAGTTTGAACTAGGTAATCCTCATTCCACGAGAATTAAGCCTAGTTCGAACTAGCTAGTTCGAATTAAGGGGTGTGTAGCCCCTTAA